AATAATTTTCAGAAAAAAAATACACCGACTTCGAAATGCACTAAAAAGTATAAAATAATTTCTATTTCTTAATGGAGTAATTTCTCTTTCATTCAATCATACAATTACGTCACAGAAAAAAAAAAAAAAATATACTGATCGAATTGAGTAACCTCCTCCTTTTTCGAAGTCGGTTAAAAAACAGTCACAGTCACTACTTTTTACACGGAAAACAGTCACAGTCACTTTATTTATGGTTTCACAATTCAAATTTTAAACTAATAGTACAAAAGGTCACACATCGACCGGTAAACGAAACTACGACGGAAACGCACGGAAATCTTGCCCTTGATCGGGTTGCTGCTCGCGAACGCGACGGAAATCTTGGGCGGAACTCTGCGTTAGCTCCGAACGCGATGGAAATCTTGACGCGACGATATTACCGAATTTTCGCAGCGACCAAGGTCCGACCGTGAAAACACGAGATACCGGTCGAAATAAAGGCTGAGAGTCTCGCCACGTGTTATGGCGACGGCAACGGTGATTTAAACGAATTAACGGCACAACACGGAAATTATCGCGGGCACGACGTTCCGTTAATTTTATTGATATTCGATGTCTCTAAATAATGGTAATAGCTCGGCGGATTATCACAATTTCGCGGAATTCGAATTGGAAAATAACTCGGGTGCGTGTGACTTCTCCAAGAGCCGGAACAAGAAGAAGGAGGGGGCGATCTATCGACATCGATCAGCGAAAACGGGGATGCGCGACAGATCCTAATCGATATAGAGCGCAGGTACGCAGGAGAACAAGGACCGCGAATAGTAACTACAATTACGCATGAAAAGGATCGGTAATGCGCGTTGCCTCGTTCGCGATGAGATTTGTGATTCGCGAATTCTTCTCGATATGGCCGTTAGCGCGATATTTAATGTTTCCACGAAGACTCTCAGCTATATGCGGACATTACGGAACAAAATTAAATAAATGAAAAAAGTGATCTAATGGCAGTGTTCCAGACATTAAATTATCTTGTGCTGTTCTTATTTTGTTATTCTTTGCCATATTTGTGCGTCTTCGTATACTCCTTATTTTTTCATTATTCAATAATCTTTTATAATTTGTTTCTTGATCTGCAATTAGTTTTGTTAAATTATCTGTAATCA